GTGGGAGAGATGCTGACGAGCTCTCGGGTGCACGGCGCAGTTTCTCCGGGGCTGAGCGTGGGTCTGTCTGCTCTGCCGCCCGGGGGGCGCTGGGCACCTCTCACCGCACACGGGCGGATTTCAGGGCCTGGCGGGAGGGGGTCAGAGCCGTCCGCCGGGGGCATTGCCGCCAGGGTGGCTTTTGGCCCCCACCCGCACCCCGACGGCGTCCCAGCCTGCCTGGACGAGGACGGCTTCTGCATCCCGCCCTGGGACTTGTGGGGTCGTGTTTGCGGGGTGCTGGGGGTGGTCGCCGGGCCTGGCCAGCCTGACCCCAGCTGCCAGAAGCTGCCCCAGCCTACGTGGGACTGCAGCAGCCGCCTGTTCTCGCGGCGAGGAAGTGGGGCCCCTCTCCCCGCTTTGCTGCCGCTGGGTTTTTACCCTCTCCCTTTTTTGCCACCTGCAGCAATCGTGGGGAGACGGGGCAGCCCCTTGGGCGACCCGAGCGAGGGCTCCTCGCTGCGGGACCGTCCCCCGGGGTCACCCCGCGCGCAGAAGGGGGCTGGCGGGAGAAGGGGCCACAGCTCGGGGCTCTCAAATCCTTCCAGCCGCGTCATCTCTGGAGCCCGGCAGATGCCAGTCCAGGGAAGCCCACCGGACTCGGCCTCTTGCAATGCAACTTTTCCCCCTCCTCCGAAGCACGATTTGTTCTTTAATAGCAGTCGATGTCCCGGTGTGGCTAATGAGCGGGCACGAGTTCCCCGGGCCAGGCGGAGCGGTCTCGCTTGCCCCCGCAGTGAAGGGGAGCAAGACCCAGACAGGCCGGAGCAGTTTGAGTGCAGGACGCCCCGCTCCCAAACTGACTCCCCTCCAGCCTCACCCCACCCGGGCAGTCCCGGCAGGCAGGTCTCCTGCTCTCGGTGCCGGACGCCTGAATTTCAATGAGGACGTACAAAATGAAAAAGAAATAAAAAGAGACGTCCCAGTCGAGTCAAAGAGGGGCTGTCACGGGGAGACCGGATTCACCTGGGGCTTCCCCTTCCCCGCAGCCGACAAGGGATCTGCTTGCTCCCTAGCAGAGGGTTGGATGTATATGGCCGGGACCTCGTTCAAAGAGGGGGTGACCTTCCCCCAGGGAAAGCTGAGCTTTATGAGAGACGGACGAAGGGCTGGGGTAACTCTGCTGACTGATTTACACCCACGTCACAGAGATCAGCCACGGCCTTGTCCTGCTACGTCCTTCCCGTGGGCCCTGTGCTGCGTGCGGTACACAAGCGCAGCTCCCGCCAGCTTTACACCACTTGGGCTGGATGCCGAGGTTGTCCGCCAGCAAAAGGGGGGTGAGATGGAGCTGGAAGGACGTGCATTTGAGGTGACATCAGTATAACGCATGTCTCACGTTGCCTGCTCTCCCCAGGTTTTATGACACACATTTTTCTGCTTCAAGCCCCAGGTCCCGGAGTCTTGTGACTACAGGCATGGCTCGCACCTTGTTTTTCTTTACATCGCTTCGTACACACTGAAAAAATCACTTGAGAAACCTGATCTCTGAACCCCCGAAGGGGCTCAGGACGTGTTGTCTTGCACAGACCCCTGGTTTTTAAGCCAGTCTCCTGCTGATTTGGGGCCAGCTCGTGATGTTCAGTCTCCTGAGCATGGCCAGACTGAACCGGGAGGCACGTGGCTGGTGTTGGTAGTTGACTTAGGTCTGCCACCGAGGACATAGATCCCCACTCCAATGCCGACCTGATCCTGTCGTGTGTGATTTGCCCCTGGACATGGAGCAGCTCAGAGGCCCTGGAGATACTTGTGCACAGCAGGGAGCCCCACGGGGCCACTTCAACCAGCTCAGGCTAGAACAGCAACCCCATCTGGACTGTAGGTCAAGTGGGAGCAACTGGGATGGGTTTGAGTCTCTCACCTGCCTCCAGGCCCCTCCCGCCACCCTCCAGGAACCTGCCAACCAAGCTCCTCTCTCCTCCGAGGGACCACCCAGACAGATAATCCCTGCCTTTTCTGGGATGAAGGACCACCCATTCTCACCGTGCCACATCCAGAAGCCTTCCTCCTTCACCTCCTCCTGCCTGTGACAGCCGCCCACTGCCGCCGGGCCACAGCCGAGGAGTGCAAGGAGCACGTGGCCTTTGTGCCTGACCACAGCCGGGTTGAGAAAGGCTTTGATGTCACGATGCTGGCCCGGAAGACCTACGTGGTGGACACCAAGCAGTGGCAGAGGTGAGACGGGACCTGCACCCTGTGCTCCAATACACTCCAGGGCAGGAGTCTCCAGCGCCTTCCCCTGGCTGTGGTCAACGGGCGGGTCAAGGTCTCATGCCAGAGGACAGCCACCAGCTCCCTGAACTACTCGGTCGTGGAGGTGGCCCAGGAAGCCAGCACAGCCATGGAAAACAACTGGGAGGTCATGCTTGATGTGGATGTCCCTTTGAAGGGCAACGTGCAGGTGGCGATGGCTGGTTCCCGCCCTGATATTGCTAAATTCAGTGAAGACAAGGCCCGGCATGACAAGTACTCCTTTGCCATCCGTGAGGTCTTCTGCCAAAACTATTGGTGAGGTGATCAGGGCAGAGAGGTCAGGAGAGATCAGGATCAAGTCTGAGCTGGGTGGGGGTGATGCTTAGGTTGGGGGTAGATTTGGGTTGGGATCAGGGCTAGGGCTGGGAATAGATCTAGGTTGTCTTGGGGTGGTGAGTAGACTGAGGTTTGATTGGTGTCATGGGCTGGTTGTGGTTGGGTTGAGTTGGGATCCAGGCTGGTTTGATTGGGGTTGAGTTGGGGTCATCAGTAGGTTTATGTTGGGGTTAAATTGAATTGCGGGTCAGTGGTAGATCTGAGTTGGGTTGAGTTGAGGTCATGGCTAGGTTGAGTTGAGATCAGGTCAGGTTGAGGTCATGGGTAGGTTAGTTGCGACTACATGCCCCCGTCAGGCAGTCGTCCCTTCCCCTCACCCTCACAAGATGGCGGCTCTCCCTTCTTTTCCCCCACCAGGTTCAACATCACCAATAATCCCCTGCTGTCTCCTAACTTCACGCGAGCCATAAAGGACCTGCCCTGGTACTACAACTGGGCTTCACGCCCCAAGTATCGCCAGTTCATTGCCACCTACGGCACCCACTACTTTGCCCAGGTCTACCTGGGGGGCCACATCTGGAACATCACAGCCAGCCGGACCTGCCAGACGGTGCTGGATGGGCTGACGCCCGACAAGGTCCAGTTCTGCTTGGACCTGGAAGTGGCCATGAGCACTGGGGCTGAGACCAGCAGAGCTGAGGGGGCCCCCAAGGTGTGCCGGAAGCAACGTGAGAAGCTTGGCATGAACTTCTATGAGGTCTACAAGGACCGTGACACTGAGGTCATTGGAGGCCATGGCCACTTCGATTTGCTCTTCACCAATGGGTGGGACACCAACATTTACACCAGCTGGCTGGAAGAGCTCAAAGCCAACCCTGACCCAATCTCCTACACCCTGGCACCTCTCCACATTTTCGTCAAGCAACAGGACCCAAGAAGGGAGGCTCTCCAGCAAGCAGTGAGCAAATACATCCATGACCAGGCCTTGTGGAGCAACTGCTCCCAGCCATGCCTGCTCGACACCCAGCGTAGAGCCCTCTGCTCCTGTCTCTGCCCCAGGGACACCATAGCCAATGCCATGTGCTGCTCCCAGGACTGGGGGTGGGGCAAGCTGGAGGTTACAGTCAAACATGGCAAAGGCCTGTGGGGAGATTATGGAAGCCAGACAGATGCCTACATCAAGGTTTTCTACCAAGAGAGGTTGAACCAAAGCAGAACTGTGAACAACAACAACCCCATCTGGAACATCTGTCCGGATTTGGGGGCTGTGAAGGTTACCAGGGCCCCCCAGCTGAAGGTGCAAGTATGGGACAAGGACAGTGGGTGGGACGATGACCTCCTGGGGACCTGTGATGAACCGCTAGTGGCTGGCGCCTCTCAGCAGAAGACCTGCTACCTGCACCACGGCAAGCTAGAATACCAGTACAAGCTGCTCTGTGGGCCGAGTCTGGGGGGACCTCAGTGCCAGGACTATGTCCGCCAGCCCCCCGGTAGGGCAGCCAAATAGACTGGGATTGGGTGACCCTTGGGAGAGAAGCATAGATTTCATAGACATTAGGGGCTGGAAGGGACTTCATGAGATCATCAAGTCCAGCCCCCCCGCCCGCTATAGGCAGGAAGTCAGCTGGGGTCAAGTGACCCTAGCAAGAAATAAATCCACCTGTTTTTTGAAGGAGTCCAGAGTAGGTGCTTGCACCACTTCTGGGGGAGTCTGTTCCAGATCCCGGACACTCGCACCGTAAAGAACTTTTTTCTTATGTTCAGTCTAAATCGGCCTTCCTGGAGTTTATGGCCATTACACCTCGTTATCCCTTGGGGAGCTCTGGTGAACAGCTGCTCTCCCAGGTCCTGGTGTACCCTTCTTATATACTTGTAGGCTGCCACCCAGTCCCCCCTGAGCCTTCTCTTCTCCAGACTGAAGAGTCCCAAGTCCCTCAGCCTTTCCTTGTATGACCTTCCCTCCAGGCCATGGATCATGCGTGTGGCTCTCCTCTGCACTCTCTTAAACTTCTCCGCATCCTTCCTGAAGTGGGGGGCCCAATACTGGACACAGTACTCGGGCTGCAGTCTCACCAGGTCCAAGTAAAGCGGGAGGATGACTTCCCTAGTTTTGCTTGAGATGCATCGGTAGATGCACTCCAGAGTTTGATTTGCTTTGCCAGCCACGGCACCACAATGGTGGCTCATGTTCATCTTGTGGTCAGTCAAGACCCCCAAGTCCTTTTCCGTCATGGGGTTAGCGAGTGTAGACTAAGGAGAAGAAAGGGTCAATACAGAGCCAAGAACTCCCTGAAACTTCACTGTTAAAGGTACAGAAACCCTGGTTTGAACTAATCAATACCGAAGACCGACTCTTAGGACTGAATACCACCCCCACCCCCCCAGTCAACTGCCCCCAGAGCCCTATTCAGCACAGCAGTGAATTAATCAAACTTCATCAATGGACATTTTAAGAGGGGGTCTTTAAGAGAAGGCTAGATGTACACCTTGCTGGGGTCGTTTGACCCCAGTACTCTTCCTGCCATGGCAGGGGGTCGGACTTGATGATCTGCTCAGGTCCCTTCCGACCCTAGAAACTATGAAACTATGAAACTATGACTCCCAAGACTGCACGTACCTGCGGACGTGACCCCTGGGGCTGACAGCTGCCATCCAGCAACCACCAAGGGGGGGAAGTCTCACGAGGTCAACGACCCCTGGATTGGGTAAGCCTGAATATTGGGGAGTCACCAAAGTCTGCCAGAGAGGGATAAAAGGCAGTGAAGGATGACCCCCAATGGCACCCTCTCTGACCTGACCAGCACCCTGCCTGCCCAGCCGGATGGACCAGCAGGCGACCCCCTTCTGAAGCAACATGGCACTGACAGCCTCGACTGGCCATCGACGGCAGACTCCAGCACTTGGGGATAGGTATATCTTGACACCGGTGCTTAGCGAGCTACTGTGAGTGTGTGCTTGCGCGAATGTGTGTGTGTCTGAGGGGATGAGCCGCAAGGTTTATGATCTGACTTTTGCATCCGTCTAATAAACTAGAATTTTATGAGGATCCTATGAGTGGGTCCTTTGTAGTCAACAAAATGAGTTGCCGTGTCACTTCTTTAACGCTAGTCTGGAATCTCATTTGGTCACGTAACACCCTACCAACCTATCCGCTCACCAACACCTTGACCCAGCCCATCTTAGACCAATCCATTGGCCGTCCTTTTGGCTGACCTAATCAACCCTGACACGACCCATCCATTGTCCAACCAGTTAGGCTGGGGTCTGTGCAAGGCTTCAGATCTGGAGAAGTTTCAGACACTTCGGTGTCTGAAGCAGCATGTCCGGATCAAAGCGCTGGCTTCGTTAGGCTTTCCAGAGCGGTTCAGAAAAGCTTTGGAGAGCCTGCCATAGGGTATAATGGGGAATCAATGAAATATCTATAACATTGCTGTTTTTTGTCTGATCTGGATGAAACCTGCAGGGGTGGTAGCCTCTGCTGAGAGCATGATGCCTGCCAAGGTTCAAGGAGATCGGTGCATAGGGTTCGGGGGAAACAGCGCCCCAAATTCTTGAAAACAAAACTCATAGCATGTGTACGTGTTAACCCAGCGAGACACCCAGGTTTATGGGGAGCTGCCAGCTACTCCCTGGGCTGGAATTTGCCCAGCTCTCAAACCGAGTCTTGAATCAGCTCCCTCTGCCAGGGATAACACCGGTCTGCAAGTACTGGACTACTCCAGCTGTGGTTGCCTCCAGGACGTGAGCAGCAGAGGGGAGATGGAGGAGAAGGTGCAGCCCAGGTCCTTGCCCGGGGATCCACCTCCCCCAGCCTCCCGGCTAGCAGGAACAGTGCCCTGCCCTGCCCTGCCCTGCCCGTCCGCACTGGGGGCAA